AAGGAAGGAGTTGCAGCAGGATTAAATAGCTATATGGATTTTGATGGGGAACAGCGTGGAAGAAAGCATGGATGTGGGAGAAATGTACCAATGGTTGCAATGACCAGCATCTTTGGCAGAGGGAAGGAAGGGGTTGATGGCATGGTAAAATGATAGATTTGATGGGGGGGTGTGTGTAAATCATGATGTGTCTTAAAAGTGAAGACAAGAAGCTTCTGTTTGAGTTCGTGGCAAAAGGGGAGCCAATGGAAGGATGCAAAGATGGGGCTAATGTGGTTAGAGCAATGCACCATGGAGATGATCCATGAAGTAGAGGGAGGAAAGGTTGCAGCAATCAAAGCCAAAGCATGCAATGGTAATGACCTTGACAAAATATACACTGGGTCAAATTTTGCCCCATTTTACACTCTGTAATCCCACAGGTAGAAGAATTTGGGTCACTTGTGCAAAGTTTATGCTCTTTATACGGGTAAAATAATCTAACCGTCCACTCTAAGCTTTTGTATTCCATGCATCAACTTGGTACCTGCAGAGTGGATAAAAATTGATTTTTTTTTTTTGGAGAAAAAAAAAAGTGGATTTTTAAATTTAAATTGGATTTTGTTGATTTAAATCAGATTTTTTTATTTTGTTATTTCAATTATAATACGTTTTTCTTTTTAAAAATAAATCTGCTTTAAAATGAAGTGTGAATCTAATACAAAATATGATAAGGCCTAAATTTATAATCTTGTGCAATATTTAAATTAAAAAAATATGCTGAGTCTATGAGCCTCTATCAAAAAATCTGAGTTAAAGGCTTCTTTTCTATAAAAAGAAAGAATCAGGGGGAAAATATCTAACTTTTAAGGTCAAGCTTTATAAGTATGGCACAATAGGTCATGTACTGTATTAAGGGCTTGATCCTGTGGGAGACCCAGGGGCTTGCTTCTGGGTGCAAGAGCCTAGCAAAGTCATCACAGGTGTGGGGACCCAGCCTCTGACTTTAGGAGACACCACCATGGATCTCATCAGGACTATCCACTGAGCTCATCTGGGTGGTCTCATACTCCTACTTTATAGCTTCTCCTTATCTGAGTTCTGATTGGCTCATTTCTCAAATTATGAGGACTCCCCGCACTATGCAAACTTACTTTCCGGGGCCCAGTAACTACCAGCCCTTGCTTCTGGATGGTTCTGGAAACTTCAAGTAAATGGCCTTGCTCTGTTTCCTTGCATGTGTACACAGAGCTACAAACAAAAAGAAATCCATTAATTTCTCAATTGCCACTCTCTCTGTCTCTAAACAAATACTGCAGTGCAAAAGGCATGTGGGTTACATGAGCAGAAGTCTTGGATTGTTGTTAGTTCTTTTGTTTTTCTGGGGATAGTGGAGGATGGGACGCGGGAGTAATATAACAAGGAGCAAGAGCAGAGTGTGCAACCAGAAAGGAGCATGCTGGTGTGAAAGCAGGACACTGTGGGAAGAAAGGATAACATTCTTCAGAGTGCAGCCTCCAGCATTGATTTCAACACCTGGGAGCTGGGGAGGCTGAGGGAAGGGGGCAAATTGCCATGGCTGCAGGTGCTAAAGAATACCCTGTTCAGGAATACTTTCAAGAAATTCCTGTACCCCTGGATAAAAAAAGGAACATGTGCCCAATGTAAACAGTGCAACAAAGAGATGCAAGGCCTGGTTGTTAAAATGAAACAACATTATAAAAAATGTTATTCAGAAGTCAATGACTTTGAGGATGGTGATGTGAACATGTCTGAACAACCTGGATCAACTGGTTAGTAAACTTATTGTTGAGTGCCTATGATGTTTTACTCTGCTAGTAAGTGATAACTTAGGTTATTGTCATGAATTTGTGTTTTGGGTGGATTACTTAGGAAATTCAAAATGTTTGTATTAAAATTTAATTGGTATGTTTGTGGAAGTATTTATCAACTATATTTTTATTGTTACTGCTGGACTTCTGAAATGATTTTTTATTCAATATAATCAAAGGTCATAGGTGAAAATTTCTGTTTAACAGTAAAGTTTTATTAAGCATTTATGAATATTAACACTTTAATAAGCTGTTTGGTATGTTGCTATAGACATGAGTTTAAGCAAATTCCAGCAGAACTCCATAGATTAAAAGATTGCTTGGTTCATTTATGCAACAAATTCTCCTTTTCATATTGTTTGGAACAAACATCTCATTGACAAGTTCAATCATTATGACCAGGCTGTGCTCCACCTGGCAGAGTAGATATTGCTGTAAGGGTGCTGGATACAGTTTATGAAAAGGAAATTGTACAGTGTGCAAAAAGCATTGACGGGAGAGTTTATTAATCTGAGTCTTGATGCGTGGAGCAATGTACGCAATCTAGTAACGTGCTTGTCTGACAACAGACGATGGGGTTGTCTGTCTTACAGAAACAATTGAATACCCATATACAGTAGAATATTTAAAAGAAGCAGTAGTAAAAGTATAACAGACTGAACAAAAATTCACGTGCATAGCTTTGCCACAGACAATGCTGCAAATGTAGCAAAGATAAGAAGAAATCTAGAAGAAGAGAATGAAGGGAACCTGAAACTTATAACATATGGGTGTAGTGCTCATTTGATGATTCTTTTAGGCAGAGACGTAAGTACAACTCCAGGAATAAAGGAAAATGTTGTTGAAATTGCAAAATACTTCCATAACAACCAGTTTGCTTCAGCTGCACTGAAGAGAGCAGGTCCAACACTAGTTCTCTCCTAAGATGTACGGTGGAA